GGTTTCACTTTTTGATGAAGACTCCATCCATGCTCCACAGAGCCGACAGAGGGACGCTCCAGGAAGCAGAGGTGAGCAGCAGTTTCCCATCCTAAGAAGCACAAACGTTACTTTGTAACAGCAGCACAAAAAGAGCTGAGACTCATATCAAAAGTGAGCATAACGTCAGCTCAGGTAGTCGCCTCAGTGCCTGCAGATCAGCTGAGCTTATAGAAGACGTCTTCTTACATCAGAAACTCAAATATACTGAGTGCAGATTTGTCCCTGACCCGGTCGACGACCGTAGCCTCAAATAAAAAAAGCATGAAATATGCAAATGTTTGGGGAACGTTGTGCAGGATAACAACAGGTGTGTTTAAATGCTCGTGCAGATACCCTGGAGGGCTCGAGGTGTGTGATGGCGGACGTGTGGCAGGTGTAGTTGGCCGCCTCGTCTCCCGAGAGGACGTTGTAGAACTTGAGGTGGCCGGAGCAGGTTCCCAGCATCAGGAAACGCTCGCAGGCCGAGAAGGCACAGCAGGTGAAGCCGCTCTCGTCTCCGTCGCCCTCGTGGAACACCGACATCGGACGAAACCTCGACGGAGGGGTGGAGAAGCAGAGGTCGATTTTAAACAGAAAATGAGCTAAATAACTGTTTTTGCTGCACGGCGAGTCCGTTCTTTACCTGCTGAATATCAGATGTCTATCCAGACACGCTCGGTCCACGCCTCCGTATTTGGGGTACAGCACCCTGGCGCCCAGGCGGGCGGTGAAGTTGGGAGAGGCTTGGCGTCTCTGCTTGGGCTCCGGGCAGCGGTGCGGTGTGAAAAGAGAGAAAGGGGGGCACGTGGTGACCGGGTTGGGGCAGCGGGCGTGTTGTTCCCTCAGGTACTCGGTGATGATGCTGTCGAGCGTTGGAGGGGAAGGAAGGTGGCGTTCCAGCTGCTTCTTCATTGCTGGAGTCTGACAGAGAGGGAAAGACAGAGCAGCTGAGCTTAGGCGTGTCTGTGCGAGCGCCACGATGATGCTGATCGAACCCTGACCTGTATGAAAGCTCCGTGATCCGACTTCTG